CGGCTGAGGGGGTGGGCCGGGAGGGAAAGACGGAGCTGGGTAGGAAGGAGGCGGTCCTTGAACTGGTTGTCCTGCTACTCGCACTGAAACCACTGGGCTAAGACACCTCCATGAGGTCTGAGGGTTCACTTCGCTGGGGTTATACTTTTTTTTTTTTTGTACTGTGTAACTCTGGCTTGAGTTACTATTGCAGTTATTATTAGAAAGCAATGGATGAAAATAATATAAATACTTTTAGAAGTATAATAAGTATTATTAAATGGAAAGGTAACTTACATTGGAAATCTATTTCATAAGGAGAAATCTTGGTTAAAGGAAGGGTTGAATTATCTTTTATTTTGGGACTCTAGAGGTGTTTACGCTTTGGGGCAATGTGCCAGGGTAGGATTAGGGATGCGTGAGACTGTGACTTCTGTAAGGAGATGGGCCTTTCTTTCAAGGAGTGGTTGTGAGAAGGGAGGTAGTAGAGTGGGAGAACCTTCTCCGACAGTGTCAGGGAAGAATACCTGCGGAGGCTGAGGACTTGGAAATCGATTCCCTTAAAATTACCCATGGCTTTGCACCCTGTATAAAATATTCCGGTGCATCCAGAGATATGGTTCTCTGGACTGAAAACTGCCACAATACGTCACTGAAACATATTACACATAAAATATGAAAATGGTGGCGAAGGTCACCTGACAGAATATTTGGTCTCCTGGACAGAAGTGGCAGTAATTAAGGTGTGTGTGTGTGTGTGTGTGCATGTGTGTGCGCGCGCGGGCACATTCACACGGGTGACATTTACTGGGAGTGTTCCATGTGCCAAGCATCTTACTATTATTTACTTAACCCTTATCACAATGTTTTGACATATATATCTTATTCCTTTTTTATTTTTATTTTTTATTTTTAAATATATCTTTCTTGATTTCAGAGACAGGAAGGGAGAGGGAGAGAGAGAGAAACATCAGTGATGAGAAAGTCATTGATCAGCTGCCTCCCGCACGCCCCTTACTGGGGATGGAGTCCGAAACCTGGGCTTGTGCCCTGACCAAATAGAACCCCGATCGCCTGGATCCCAGGTCGATGCTCAACCCCTGAGCAATGCCTGGCCAGGCTCTTATTCCTGTTTTAACAATGAGAAAACATATAGAGAGGTTCAGTAATTTGGACAAGCCCTTTTATATGTAGCATTTAAAATATTTTTATAGCCCTACAAAAATCCCATTTGTGTTATTATCCGTCTTTATTGCCTTGCTATTCTTTCTTCATTTTCATTTGGTGCCATAATACACTATCGTGAGGAAACAAATATCTCTTGTTAATTTAAATCCACTTACAAAATTACCTAAAATTACCTAACCCACTGTTTCTTCTTCTGTATTTTTTTTAACCAGGCTCAATTGCTGTACATAGAAACAGTATCTTTTGGCTGACATATCCCCTATGATTTCCCAATTTTTTTCTTCTATTTTTTTTTCAAATAAGGTATAATTTAAATTCATAACATTCACCCTTTTTAGTGTACAGCTTAATGGGTTCTGAAATATTCATACAGTCATGTGAACACTACCGCAGTTGAGATACAGAATAGTGTCATCACCCCCAAAAGTTCCCTGGTTCCCCTTTGCAGCCTGGCCCTTGGCAACCACTGCTTCGTTTCCTGTCCCAGTGGCTTTGTCTTTTCCAGAATGTGGAATTAAAATTAAAATAGAAATGTTTTATTACATTTAAACTTGGATTTAGTCCTTGTATTTAAAGAAAAAATTCTAAAAGCTGGGGATAGGTAAATTTTATGTCAAATATACTCAACTGCCCTTATAATAAGCATTTTATTTGGCATTTTAAAATAGAATAAATATACAATTTGATGTTTTATTATACTTTGAATAAAATATTCAAATAAAATGAAATATTCAGATTACAAATTTTCTCCCAAAGTAATCTTCCTTTTCTCTTTTCATTTTAAAAGAAAATAATTTTTAAAAACACATTTTGAATGTATTCAGATATTAAAAGTTTAGTTCATTTCATTTACTTACTATTTAATAAAATAGATAAAAGTTAAATTAGGAAACATTTTTAAAGGTAGACAAGCTGACTTTATTTTTATCTTTCTTTTATACAGGTGTCTGCTTCAGAATGGTAAGTCAATACAATCTGTGTATTTTTGGAGGGGGCATTTTTTCTCCCACAGTTATTTTTAATCACAGAGATAAAGCAGTTTTCTGCTTAGTTCTGGTCTACTGCTTATTTCCCATCATTGACAGTAAATAAAAATGTATTTGTATTTCTTCAAATACAAATTACTGGTTGAGATTTTTGTTAGATCTGTCTTTACAAAGTAGTCTTAAAAACATTACAGCCTCCTTAGCCTTTAACTAATGTTTTCTATGAATTTCAAAATATCTCTCTTGAGGTGATCAAATTAAACATTTTGATTAGATATATTAAATACAAAATATGGGATCTTCCACTTATTCTGGAGGGAAGAAACCCTCTCCCCATGGGGATGTATCTCAAATTGCGTAACGGAACATGCTCGTGTTGCATAGTGGTCCTCAGGTTTTTAGAAGTTCAAGCTCCTTATTGCCTCTAAAATCTTTATTTTGTTAGCATACTCCTTTCCTAACGGGTAAATGTGACTTGTATGTTCACCTACTATCTGAGCTGGCAATCACAAGATTAGGTCTCTGTTCCTAACCTCTGAGTGTTCTGATGTGGTCCCACCTAGAAAGTCTCCACACTTTGAGATAGCTGCATCCTCTACAGTTCAGATTTTTCCTTTTTCATTATTACCTATGAGAGCTTGGCTTATTTTCAGAAATGGCCCGTACGTCAACCTTAGCTGTAACCATCTCGGTTTGTGTTGCCTCATATTGTTTGCACCGTGGAGTGGAGAGAGAGAAATCTTGGTCACCCTGGCTTCCAAACAGAAGAACTTGTTTTTAAAAAGTTCTAGCAGACTGGATCCACAAGAATTTTAGTATGATGTAGTTAAAATAACTCAAAATCAAAATATTGCTAGGCTTTTATTTGCCAATAGCAAAACTGAATTTGGAACCAAGAAAAGGAATTTTTAAAAACTAATAAGAATAATAGGAGAAATAAATTTGCCTGTAGAGAATCATAACATTTGTTTGGCAAATCCAGAGCCAACAGAAAAACCACAGAATACTTTAATCTAGTACTTTCTATTGATCCTAACTGGATATTTTTCCTCGGTGAAATTCCTTGAGAGTTTCAGAGTGATCATTATTTGGAACCCAGATTAACAATGTTATTTAGTGTTAACTGATGTGAGGGCAATGCAGCCAAATTTTATGGATCCCAAAACACATCATGGAAACTTTTTTGAAGTAATTCTTACTATCAGCTTATTTTCTCATAACATGCTTCTCTTTACTGAAAGTGGAATTTGACAAAAAATTATATTTAAGTGAAGGTTCTTGTAAATAGAGGTATTCATTACTGTTGGTCAGCTGCACAATTTTTTGGCATAGACTATATTTTAGGAAATAAATGATCAGGTTAGTACTTTTTGAATGTTAAAATCAAGTATGTTGAATTCAGACTTTTGATGATGGACTTTCTTTCCCTTGTTTTCTCCTGAAACCAGTACACAGAAGGTGAGGCTAAGAAAATAGGAGTGGTTGGCTGGGTGAAGAACACCAGCAAAGGCACTGTGACAGGCCAAGTGCAAGGCCCTGAGGAGAAAGTCAATTCCATGTAAGTGGCAAGGCTAATAACACTCATGCAATTTATGAACTTACTGATGTTTTATCGGATAATAGGAATAGTATTGATGTACCAAATTCAGTTTGTAGATTGTAACTAAACTAACATGCTTTTAGGCAGATCAGCAAAGAAATTCTCAGACTTGGGAATGGAATTTCTGCATTTAGGAATGGGTTTCCCAGGTGGACAGGCCCTCAAAAAGATCAATGGCACTACTCTCCAATCTCTATGAATTGTGTTTTAATTCACTAATGTGGGGGGAACATCCAGGGTCCACCCATCTTTCATCTAAAGTGGTTGTGACAGAAGCATATGCCTTGGATGGTTCTTGAAGTTTTTAAAGTAGCCTTCAAGGCAAAAAGATTGTCATCTCCTTTTTATTGTTTAAATATCTTTTCAATCTAATTGTAATTTTATTTTTACTGTCAGTGAAAGTGTGTTTAATGAGCTGTATAGTTACCATAATATGAGTCCTTGCACATCAAAGGAGACCAGATTCAGAAATATAGAAAAAAGTGCCCTGTCATCTTCAAAGGCCTTATCTTTTCAGCTTTGTAAATTCCACTGCTGTCTATAGTCTTGTTTTAAAAAAATGAAAAAACAGCTAATATTTATTGAGCATATGCACCATGTTAGGCAATATGCTACACACTTTACATAGATTATCATATTTGCAAGGTAGGTCTAATTAATACCCAATTTATTTTATTTCATTGTTTGCAATTTATCTGTTTTCAGATTTAAAAAGCAATACTTTTTTGTTTATTGTAATAACTGAAGTAATATGCAGAGAGTTATAAAAGCAAAGCTGGTAATCTTCCCCTTCCCCTTTACTGCCCTCCCTTTATGTAACCTGTGCCAACCTTCTGAAGCTTTCTCTTTCATGTAAAAGTATTTAAGCGCACATTTATAATTAGCGTTCTGCTTCTTTTTACTGAAATAGAATACCTTGTGCATATTTTTCTGTAACTAGTTTTGCTGTTTGATGGACATTCAGCAATCAGTAAATATATAACTACCAACTCCTTATTTTTTCTAATTTCTTTATGTATAGTTACTTGTGCTTGTGTGTAAAACTACACCCTAACTTGAAAAGTGGGGTCCAAAAATTCAATTTTATAAAATGTTAATAGAAAATATTTTTCTGTAGGATTGTCACAACATGCACAAAAGAAGAGACTGTGAAACTTAAAGTTGTGTAGGACTAATAGTTCAGTGTGCAAGGAAATGACAAATGGCTAAGAGGAAGATTGAGAATGGGGACTGTGTGGGGGAGGGACACTCATGTCAATCATGTTATATCCTAATCCATGTTGTAGCAGGTTTTTGATTAACACCAGTGCAATCATGTCACACATTCTTTTTTCCAAGCCCTGCACACCCCTGCCCCCCCAAACCACCAGTAATCTGTGTTAGCAACCTGGTGCATTTCCTTCTGTATTTGTTTGTGATCAGTGTTTGCTTTTTAAAAATGAGATTATGGTGTATGCACTTCTCTTCATCTCACTTTTATCATTCAAAAATACATCCAGAAAAATTCCCCCAAGTCAAATGGTATAGCTCTAACTCATTCTTTTTAATGGCTGCTTAATATTCCACAGTATAGATATACCACTATTGCATTTGGGGACTCATTTTATTGTTTTTGGGAACTCATTTTATTTCCTTCTGTTTTTTTGTGTGCATTTTTTTTGGCAATAAGAGCAATGCTAAAATAAACATTTTATTGGTGATTTTATTTTTATAGGATAGATCCCCAGGAGTGTGATTTGTTGGTTGAAGTGTCTGTGTGCTATTAATTTTAAAATATTTGTCAGACTGCTTTCGAAACACTTGTAAACAAATTTCATTTTTTCCTTCTTTATCCTGTCAGCAGTTGGTATTATTGCTCTTTATTTTACCTGATTATGGGTAGAGTGATATGTGATTTTTTACTATAATTTGCATTTTTAATTTTTATAAACTCAAATATGGTTCTCTTTTCTTTCTGGTTAGTAAACAGACTGTAAGAGTTATTTCCTAGGTATCCTTCTAACTTTTTGATGCTTTATTTATTACATTGCTTATTTATTCCATCTGGAATTTGTTTTTTATTTTATAATAGGAGATTAGGGACTGACTATATTCTACCAGATGGATAGCCAGTTGTACCAGCACCATTTATTAAATAGTCATTATTTTCCCATTGAATTGAAGTACATTTTTGTCATATATTAAAATCTCATGTCAACTGAATTTTATTTCTGGATTCTCTGTTCTCCTGATTGATCTACTTATATATGCCTAGACTAATGCTCCATACTGATTTAATTAAAGTGGCTTTCTAGCTTGGCCAGGCGTGGCTCAGCAATTGAGCATCGACCTAGGATCCAGAAGATAGCAGTTCGATTCCCAGTCAGGGCACATGCCCGGGTGGCGGGCTTGATCCCCAGTCAGGGGCGTGCAGGAAGCAGCCGATCAGTGACTCTCTCATCACTGATGTTTCTCTCTCTCTCCCTCTCCTTTCCTCTCTCTGAAATCAATTAAGATATATTTAAAAAATAAATAAATAAAGAGGCTTTCCAGTATATTTCCTTTTTTTTCATTCATTTATTTGTTTTACTGGGTATTTTCTCTCTAACCTTTAAGAGAGTTTTATCCATTTAATTGGAATTATATTTTTTGTTTTGTTTTCTTTTTACTGAATTTATTGGGGTGACACTGGAAGATTTTTTTAAATGTTTTTATTGATTTAAAAAAATCTTTATTGATTTTAGAGAGAGGAAGGGAGAGAGAGAGATAGAAACATCAATGATGAGAGTCAATGATCAGCTGCCTCCTGTACGCCCCCGACTGGGGATGGAGCCCGCAACCTGGGCCTGTGCCCTGACCGGGAATCGAACCCCGATCTCCTGGATCCTAGCTCAATGCTCAATTGCTGAGCCACGCCTGGCTGGCTATATTTGTTTCTTAAAATACTTACCTGTCTTACAAATATGCTTTTAAAAATAAACTTTATTTTTAGAGGCTTAGATTTACAGCAAAATTGTGAAGATAGTACACCCAGTTTCCCCTATTAACATTTTACATTAGTGTGATACATGTTTCAGTTGATAACACATATTGATGCATTCGTATTAACTACAGTCCGTAGTTCATTCAGATTTCCTCAGCTTTTACCTAATGTTCCTTTTCTCTTTTAGAAACTCATCTTTAATGTGCCTTTTAATTTCACATTTTTACGGTATTACGAGGCTTCATATCAAGGTATCCCGTGTACGAATGTGGGTGCCTTTTCATTTGCTCAGGTCTTTAAACTCACCCTTCAGCGTGGTCTTATCGTGGTCGCCCTGGGCTCGTCTTCCTCATGGGCTTGGCCTGAGCCTGCACCGCGCCCGAACGGGTGCCTGTCCCCAGTCCTACGCTCTTTTCCTCCTCGACTTACTCACTTGTTCCGTGAAACGTAATTCTCTACAAACTCCCCGAGGGCAGGTGCATGAGAGACCAAAACACTGTATTTTGCCTGCCTTCATTTGCCCTAGTACTTGATTGTTCAAGTTATAAAATCCTGTGCCAAAAACAGTCTCTCCCATTCAGGATTTTAAAGGCATCGTCCCGTAACATCGCGTGTTGCTGCTGAGAGATTTGATGTCATTCTCACACAAAGGACTGGAAGTGACGTCTGCTTATTCCTCTCAGAAAGTTTTATAGATGTTCATTTATCTGTGTCTGCATTTTCACACTCCTCTGCCTCTGTCCACGTTTTAATTTCACTTTAAATGCTGGGCTGTTGGAAGAGGAAGGTTGTCTTTTTTCTTCTTTTTTTTGGTGACAATTTCTTTCCCTCTGTCTTCCTGGCTTTCCTCTTTTGGAACTTCTATATGGACCCCATCCTCTAATTTTCAGTTTTTCTCACCTGTTTCCAAACTGTTATCTGGGAAATTGCCTCAACTTTGTCTACCACCCTTCCTGTTAATTCTTTTGTTTGTTTCTGCTGCTATATCTTAATTTTTCTACTTCATAGCATCTTGGTTTTTTTCATATCTCTATGAGGATATTGTGTGAGGATATTTTAAAGTTTTCTTCTGCTTTTTGCATTGTTTCTGTTTCCTCCAACTTCGTTTTCTTTTACCTCTCCTTGACTTTTCTTTGTTTCCTGTTTTGCTTCTCTCTGGCATGCTGCAGGCTTTCCTTACAATCATATTTTCAGCAACTTACTCATAAATATGAACAGACAGCCAAGAATAAACAGACTTTTAAGGAAATTTTCCAACATGTAATTGTAGACTCGTTGGCTTGAGGAATGGTGGTGACTGATGGAGAGCTGGCCGTGTTGTTGGGGATCCTCCAAATGTTAAATCAATAGGCCTCTGCAGCCCCTCATCCCTTCAAATCTCAACTCTTCTGTGGGTTCCAATTGTTTTTTTGCTTCTGCAGGCACTTGGGCTGCAATATCATTTGTTTTTCTGTGTTATTTATTCTTCCTCCATTTGTTTTCCTTCTGATTTGTGGAAATCTCCTTTTCAGGTTATAGTTTTGTATCAGCTAGAAATGTTTTCATCTGCAAGTTAATAGAAAACCAGACTTAAAATGGATAAAATAATTAGGAGTTCTTTTTCTCAGTAACAAGAAGTCTGGGGTAGGTGGTCAGTGGCCTTGGTTCAGTAGCTCAGGGATATGAGGACCAACCTCTGTGATTCTCTTGGACTTTCCCTCATGGTCAAAAGTGGAAAAGTGCAGCTGCACATAATATGCACGATTAAAGCAGAAGGCGGCAGGAAGGGACAAGGTTGTGCTGCTTCCCCTGAACTTCCTAACACGGACGTCTCCTTGTGTCTCATTGACTCCTAGGGGGTCATATAGTTATTTTTTGCTACAAAGAAGACTGGGAAATTGGTTTGGCATATTGATACCCTGAACAAAATAGGCGTTCCCTTGCCTAGGAAGAAGGCGAGATGAATGGGTTCTAGGTAGTCAATGCGTGATGTTTGTAACATCTTTTACATTTTGAT